TTAATTTTATTTTCAAAATTAAACTAGGAAACTATAAGGGGCATTTGATACAGGAGGTAATTCTTATTCACTTCACAAATTTTAGATCTGATGGAAACACTACTTCTCCAACATCTATGAGAACAACTCCTTTTCAGTAGTTGTAGAGTATAAATTATTTGGTATAGTATATAGTATGGATAATAGATGAATCTAGTCAAACAGTGCTTCAGCTCAGCTATAAGTTTAGTTGGTTGCCTTTTAATAATATGAACTAGCACTGAGATTCAATGCAACATTTCAAGCAGTAATTATGTTAATCACAAGTCACATTTTTCTAATTGCCAAATATATCTCTATTTTTAGCTCACTACAACCTTGATAAGTACAAAGATTTTGTTGACATCTTAACATCAGGCAAATTTATTATGCCATAAGCTTTCATGAACCATATAACTGACTGAAGATCACAAAAATCTATGACATAAGAATTTTGTTTTTATTTAGATGGTCCAAAATTAATTTTTATCGTACAAGATTAAAAGACTCTTAATTAAATAAATGAAAACAGCACAAAAATTCAAATATTCTATGAACATTGCTGTTACTTACTTCAGCACTTTTTAAAGATTTTAAGAGATTGTTAACTGTTTCAGGAAAAGAACTGCCCAGCATTCTTCCCATTTTTTCATAAAATGCTCCAACACATGCCACTGCAGTACTACAAAAGACAAGATAATTTTGATAAGATAATTTCTAATTATTGTATAGTAATAGATTCAATAGGAAATCCCAAGTCTTCAGGTTAAACTTTGAAATAATAAAATAATAATAATTTGGAAGAAGACGATAGCAAACCATTTCTCCACTCTTCCTTAAATATCGTCCATTTAATCACCACGAGTCAAACTCAGCTCAAAGGCATCTGTCTTTTAAATGGGAGCATCAAGCCAATATACTTTGAAGCAAAGATGAACCTCTTCATATACTGGATAAACTTTAAATTCAAATAATCTAAATGTATAATCTGGATACTGCAATGATTTTACAGATAATCAGATTAGTAATGAGATAACAAGAAAACGGATGTAACAAGAAAACGGATGTAACTTTGACTTCGTGATTTAAAACTATTTTTTCTTCAAATATAATGTATCCACCAACAATTTGGCATATTTTAAGTATTTTACATAGATGCATACAATAATCAAATAAAATAGTTTCATATGATCTTACATATTGGAAATATTTCCTAATACATTTCTGAAGTTGTGGAATTTTTCTAGTAGGTAACATTTACTTACAGTTTTGTCAGTAAATAGGCAGAAGTATCATCTTTACTCCTGATGATATCATTACACTTATCGAGTGTTTGGAAGACAGTAAAAGTATCTCCAATGCTGTATAGAGCAGCAAGATTTTTAGCAAGTAATTTCCTTGTTGGTGGTCCAGGAGAGCTGCTGATAAGACCTGTTAGCTGTTCAACAAGCTTTTTTTGTTTTTCTTTTACATCTGTCTGTTAATGAAACAAATGAAATCTTGTTCAGTTTTTATATGAAATTATTGAAGTTCATTATTACTTTGTTATGTCATACAAATATTTATTTCAGATGTTCTCTAAAAGTTTATTTTTATAGTTTAAATGTGAACATAAAACTAATGACCATGAATTTAGACTAGAGGATTCATTAAATAAAGCTAAAAATACTTGCTATATTCTCAAGTTTATTTCCATAAATGCCTTTGGCATTTTTCAAAATAGCATAGCACAGCATAGCATAGCATAGCATAGCATAGCATAGCACAGCACAGCACAGCACAGAACAGAGTAGAATAGAATAGAATAGAATAGAATAGAATAGAATAGAATAGAATAGAATAGAATAATAATCCTATACAGCAGAACAGAAAATGGACTTTCTGTATAAATATGCATTATCAAACAGTTCAAAATATTTCTGACATGGCAATTTGGTCATATTACAGAAGAATCATTAATACAAAAATAAAGGCTGAAAAAAATCAATTATCAAACTCAAACTGTGAGATGGGTAACAAATAAATTTAATACCGGTAATAAAAAAATAAAAGTATACCTTGTTAGCAGCTACAAGCACCTTCTCAAGAAACCGTAACCACTCAAAGATAAAAACTGGTCGCTTTGCTTCAGTGATCTGAGCCAAGGCCTCTTCATTCAATAATAAACTATGAGCAAGTTCCATAGCTGGTTAAATTCTTTTTGTACAGAAACTACCCTTGTTTCCTATTATACAAATAAATAGAAAAACAAAGAACAGTAGATTTAAAATATCCCACCTAAAACAGTCTTAAAGTGGATTTGAATCAGTTTATCTATTATTTTTATAGAACGTATTTTATTAATTCAATTACCTACATATCTGCTACAAACAACAGATTTTTTAAAGTCTCTATCAAAAAGAGTGGAAGACCAATGATAATAATGTGACTATTATGTGTGCATGCACACATGTGTACTGGTGTACACATATATGGTAACTAAATTATTACTGTGTTCAATCAGTGCATCTTATTAAGTCATTAAAAACCTAGAAATATTTGATTAAATTTTGGTACTGTTCAACTCCAAATTGATTGGGAGGCTGTTTGTATGATCTAGTGACAATCTGGTTAAAATTTTTGTGGTTATGTGAATCCATTCAATGATTCCTTGTACTGTGCAACCTTTGCCCCCAAAGGGATCATTCAGTAAACACATCAAATACATACTATGATTGTAACTAATTGTTTGCTTAATAAGAGTGTGGACAAAAGTGTAAAATCTAATCTAAAATGGTTTCACTTAGGTCTATCTATGAATTTTAGAAATCTGTAGTATTTTATTTAATTCCAAAAATACATATTGTTGAAAGATTCAGATCCTACATTTTTTTAAAAAATGTACTCTCAAGTATTACAATTTCCAGTGTAAATTAACAAGGAAATATCAACATGAAATAAAAACAGAAAAAACAATATTCTAATCAGCAAGTGTATCTTAAAGAAAGAACTCATTTATTACATGCAAATTTGATATAGAATATTTTTTAAGTTTTAATAATAATGAGAATACAGTTACTCAAGGTTGAAACAAAAAATATGCTTTGATTGCCAGATTTCAGCCCTTTAATGTATTATTCAGGCAAAGAACACCTTTCTTTTGAATCTATAAAGTCTATTCACATAACTTTTTAATTTAAAACTTTGCTCTGATTTAAAACTTTGCATTGAAAGTTGAAAATTCAGATATAATTACTATATTTCATCATACTTATACTGCCCAGAGTCACCTTATAGGGGAGATGAACAGCATAAACATTTAATAAAAATACATACAGCCATCCATCTCACAAAATGTGACTCTGGGAAGCATACAATAAAAAAAAGTCCAGGTAATCTGCTTCATCCAGACTCCTCTGAAGCTGCTGCCCAACCAACTTCTCAACTACCAATGGTAAGAGTTGGGATTTTCTCCGGCTTTTTATTAGCAGTAGAGGCACCTCACAAATTCAGGTTTGATGTTGCATAATGTGTGAAATAGTTCCATACTGGAGTCCCTTCACCCCACACAGGCTGATATGACATGCTGAAACGCCAAGCTGCCAAGTATACAGTAGTTTATGGTTCAGAACAACATGCACACACAGAAAAAAATGTGGATTTAGTAAATTGATTATGAATAGCTTTTATAGTTGTATCTTGATTTTTAACTTATTTTTATTGGATTATGTTTATCCATTACGAACCTCCCAGAATCGCTTAGATGAAATGGAAGGCCATGGGGCAATAACAGCAAATCAATAATAATAAAACAGTTATGATGTATAGATAGGTAAGCATATTATGCAAACATGGCTTATTACAAAGGAGGGGATGTCCCATCCTGGGCTCAACTATGGAGTACAGGTAGTCCTCAATTTACGACCACATTTGAGCCTTTACAACAAAATTGAGCCCAAAATTTATGTTGCTAAGTGAGAAATTTGTTAAATGAGTTTTGTCCCATTTTATGATTTTTATTGCCACACCTGTTAAGTGAGCCACTGCAGTTATTAAATTGGTAACACCATTGTTAAGTCAACCTGGGTTCCCCATTGACTTTGTTTGTCAGAAGATCACAAAAGATGATCACATGACCCCAGGACACTGCAACTGTCATAAATATGAACCAGCTGTCAAGCATCCGAATGTAGATCACATGACCATGGGGATGCTGCAATGGTCATAAGTGTGAACAATGGCCATATAAGTCACTTTTTTCGGTGCCATTGTAACTTTGAATGGCCACTAAACGAACTGGTGTAAGTCGAGGACTACCTGTATATCCTTTGCATCCTAGGGTCACCAGCTCTAGACTGCCAAAACCTGAACGACAGCAAGGAGACACACAGGAAACTTTGCCTCTTTTCTGCCATCTAGCGGTTCCCGGAGCTTTGCCACTCGGATAGCAGACTATCCCGGGAGGGCGGTCCAAAGTGTAATACTGGAAAGGGGCCTTTAAGAGGCTGCCGTCAGTTGAGTCAGTGGGCTAAAGAAAAGGTAGGTCCCAGCTCCCCGGGTCATTGTTACACCTGCCATCCACCCAGGGAAAAGGGATCATCCGCAGGGACGATGGATGCCACCTCGGCGGGCGGTGCCTTCAGGCCGAAGGATCCTCTACAATGGGGAGCCCGCGGTGAACCGGCTCCCACCCGGGGAGGCAGCCGTGGTCCTGCGCTCCCGCTTCCTTCTTATGGCCTGTCAGCCCTCCCACCCCCTTCCCCCTTGGGCTCTTCCCCACCGAGTGCAAGCCCCGCGTCTCCCTGCCCAACCTTTCCCGACTGACCATCCCACCTTAGGCAGCGGCGGCCACCGACCCAGCCAGAGCCCGAAGGTCGCCACAGTTTACGCCCCCGATCCGGCCCGTCCCCACAACCAGCTGAAGCAGCGCCGGCTCAGACGCATGCGCTCTTGAGACTCAGGAAGTGAGGCCACCGAGGCGCGCAGGCGCAGGAGCGGCTTAGGAATTGGGGAGTGGGGAGTCTGGTGGGCTGTTTTTTTGTTATTGGTAAGGAATAGCAAACGAGGAGAAATTTTTGAGCGTTGCTGCCGCGGGTTGCGTGATGGTTAGATCAGTCAGTTATACAATAGCAGTCTAGATAGGTATGTTGAATTAAGTAAACTAGCCTCCCCCAGTGAGTTTCCACGAATGAGTATGAGCTGAATCTGGAATTTACAGGGCAAAGACCAACATCCTATCATTGCCCTGCTTTGGTTTTCTCCTGTGCTGATGCTGATGCTCTGGCTAGCTAAGAAATCAGGGTCTTATGGAACAATCCTGCACAAAGATCAAAATCAGAGTTTGTTGCGTTGCATCTAATAAGTATGGAATTTTCCTCTAGAAAGAAAAGTGGTTTTGATGCATTTTAAAATAATCATGAACTGTATTTATAGGTAGCAAGCTTGAAGGTGGACGATTGATATGAATCATGGATGACGCAGAAGAGGATTATATGTCTGATACCTTTATTAATACTAAGTAAGTGGATGTTTTTCTAAGTATATCATGCTTGCCTTCGCCTAATAAGATTGCTGAAGTTTAACTGGCTTTATGAAATTTCAAATATCCAATACCCAATTAAAAACTTGGGTACAATTTTTCAAATACACATTTTGCTTGAAAATTCTGCCCATATAGAACAAAACGTCAAGGAAGATAATTTACAGAATTAGATTAGAAATACAGGCGAATAAATAATAAATAATTTTCTATGACATATTTATTTTATTGTTTTCAGAAAGAAAAAGAAGTTAAAAATCAGTAAGACTTTTAATTACTATTAATATAATTCATTACTCAGTATGTATAGTGAATAATCCTTAAAGTATGTTAATGTATTATATAGTATTTTTTTACATTGAGGCAAAAACAAATAGAATATTAAAATTATAGATAAATAAGGATAATAAATTTAGAATATTTCAATTGAAACTCTTAACTATAGGACTGTTATCTAATTATGAAAAGAATTAAACTCGGATTATTATAAAATTGAGAATGAAGACATGTCCTTTCATCTTTGTAGAATTATGCTTTTTGCAGCTATAAGAGCATACAATGTCCTTTTCTTTTGTATTCATGTTAGTTTCTAAGCCATTGGTATGAGCATTAACAAAAAATTTTGCTTTGTTCAGCCAGGACATCAGGCCAGGAATGCCGATGTTGAGACGTGTAAAGGAAACTTTTAAAAAAGAGGAAAAAGGAAAAGAGGCTAACCAGAAAAGTAGGCAAAAAAGCATCAAAGAACAAGAAAAAGAGCAACGTGAAATGGTTCTAAATGTTGCTTTGGGGAATGAAAATAAAGGCTTTGCTATGCTTCAGAAGATGGGGTACAGAAGTGGCCAACCTCTTGGCAAAAGTGGTGAGTTTTTCCACATCCAGTTTTTAAAGTGTGACTATGTTAAAGAATCAAGTTTTACTGCCCCATAAATAGTTAACGCTGATATAAAATCTGCAGCTGGCAGAATAATGGAAAAGGGAGCCAAAGACATCTAGTAATTTACTTATTACATTTATATTCTGAATTTCCTCAACGTAACAAATTTGTTCTCTTGCTTTGCTCCCAATTTTACTTTCTCAACAACTCTATGAAATAAATTAGACTGATCCAGAAGTTACTTGATGCACTTTGTGTCTGAGTTGGGATTTGAGTTTGGTTCTTGCCAACCCTAAGCCAGCCTTCTAATCTCTGCAATTGTTTTTTGAACCATTGGAGAAAAAAAAAAAATAGAATTCACAGAGTGAATCCTGACTTGGGAAGATTACAGAAGAGTGGGGTGCCTTTCTGAGTTCCTTAAGATCAGAGATCCAATATGATCTTGCAGTCAAACCTGTTTCACAGGTTTATTTAATGTGGGGGAAAATTGAATAGACTGTTGAGTTCATGAAAGGCAAAACAAGGTATAAATATAAGAAATAAAAATATATAGAAGGGAATACAGTAAATACTATTACTATTAATAATATTTAAAATTTGTATACCATCCAGTTCTCAAAGACTCTGCACAGCTCACAGCAGTGAAACAAAGATATTACAATAAAATTAAAAAGTTAAAATATGGAAATAAAAGATAGCAAGCACAATGAAGCAAGGGGATCGTATGTTATTTTACTAATAGCAAATACATTTCTTTCTTCTGCAGGAAAGGGGATAGTTGAGCCCATTCCTCTGAATATTACTACAGGTTTGTGAAATAACTGACCTTTTTTTTTTCATTCAAACATGGTGTTGCTCAATCAGTCAAACAACTGCCTTGTATTTGGGACAGGAAGAAGTGGGCTTGGCCATGAAGAATTAAAAAAACGAAAAGCTGAAGAAATGCTGGAAAACTACAGAAAAAAAATGAATATGAAAAAACAAGTAGAAAAGCAGACAACTGACCTCTTCAAGTAGTGCTTTCCATTTATTTTATTCCTCTGACATTTTCTCTTAATTGCTAATGCCTATTGTATACTGAGGCAAGAGTTGTACTTAACCTGGACAGCATATATTTTGTGTGTTGAAGGACCCTGGTATAAATCCTGGCACCACAAGGTAAAGCTAAAGAGATAAAATCTCTTGTCAAATTCTACAAAACTAATGTAGAATCTAATTCAGCACTCAGCAGCTCCGCCCAAAATTATCATTGTCCAGCTATTCCTGAAAGATCTTGTATTCATCCCTCAGATATTAGGGATGAAGCTATTCTGTTTTAGCTCACATATTGAGTTTATTAATATCCAGAACAGAAAAATGTCCTTATCAAAATACAGTCTTCTATTAAATTTACTGATTATGGCTTTTGTCTCATGAAGAATGAGATTGAAGACTAAGCAGGAGCAACTGCAAGTACAACGGGACCTTGAAAAAAGTCAGAAAGCCTGCCAACAATTGGATACACAGAAAGTAAGTTTAAATAAAACCTTTATTTTTGCTTTTGGCATGTAGAAGCTTTGACCTCTGCTTTAACCTTCCTAATAATGCACAATTCAACAAACAATGGAAACATTTTAGAACAGTCCTGTTGCAAATATGTATCAGTGTAGATACATTTGGTACATTAATGAGTTTTTTTAAAAAATATATTTTAGATTTATAAATATGATTAGTCTGGAATCAGGTCAGCAAGCAGGAGGCTATTCATAAGACTGTTACTGACAAGGTCAACCTTTTGATTTTTATTTTTTTTACTACTGCAATGTAATATGTTTAAAATATCAAATCTACGATCGATGTTGTGTTGGATTTTTATTTCTACTGTTTGTTACTTTTAATTGAACAATTTCTATAAAAATAATGAAGCAGTTTACAGATTGAGAATCCAATACAAGAATATTAGAAACAATACCGCACAATAGTCTGTCACTGCAACATCCAGATGAAGAGCAAATATTAGGGGGTTCCATAGCAAAGACCTCATAACCCAAATGCTCAGGCTGAAATCAGCCACTGGTCTGGAGGTATCAGTGGCTCTGCAAGCAAGATTTATAGGCCTGGCTAGTGCATACATGAAATAATTTTCCAGCAAATATTTGGGTGTCAATAAGCTCTTTGAAGTATAAGTAGTAACAGGCAACTAGTATAGATTGTAGAGACTGAATGTAACAGCCTTACACATTACTTATAGAGAAGTGGCAACTTGCAGCAATGGAAGCTTTTAGAACAGCCTTTGTTGGCATTATAGTCTTCAATTTACAATCTTAATTGGGATTGGAACTTTTGTAGCTAAGCAAGGTGGTCATTGTGAGGTGCACCTGATTTTATGACTTTTTTGCTATGGCCATTAAGTGAATCACACAGCCATTAAGCAAATCCAAATTCCCCCATTGATTTGGCTTGTCAGAAGCCAGCTGGGAAGGTCGCAAATGGCAATCACATGACTCCAGGACATGCCTGCTGGTTTCCAAGCACTTGAATTTTAATCACATGGCCACGGAGACACTGCAACAGTTCTAAGTATGAGGACTGTTCATAAGTCGTTTTCTTCAATGCCGAATTTTGAATAATTACTAAATGAGTGGTTGTAAGCCGAGGACTGCCTATATAGTAATCTAAATTTGAAATTGAGATATGAAGATGTAAGGTAGGCCTCACATGGTTAGGTTCACCCCAGATCTCTGAATTACTTTACCCAGCAGTTTCATAGATTTGTGAAAAAGCATTGTGGATGGAACTGTGCATCCCCTACAGCTTAAACACTGCATGGCTAAGCAGACCTGCCACAGTGATACTATGAAAGCAGAACTCGCATCATCACCAAAAAATCCATTTCAAAAGGATAACTCTGGTTGATAATATAAAATAGGCCATGAGATCTAAGAAATCAAGAGCTTTATTAATATGCAGTGTCTCCTAAAATTTCTCTTGTGTTTTATATGATTTTTCCCCATTTCGGCAAAGATTTCAGCAATCCTAAAAAAATATAATAGTGTGGAGTATGAGTTATTGCCATGTTTTTATTTAAGGGCCTTGAAGTCCCCAAAGAGATTTGGTACTGGTTAAGCCCGAAGACCGAAGAAGACCAAGAGGAAGAAGAGGAGAAGGAAGATGAACTCAATGTAAATACATGTTCAGATACTGTCTTTGTAGTTATCTTTGGTGGATCTTTATATTATTATGCTCTATAGCACAGGTCGGCAACTGCATGTGGCTCTTTGAGCATCCCCCTGCGGCTCCCAGCCTCCTCTGCCATTTGCAGAGACAGAGACAGAGAGAGGCACTTGCGCTTCCCTTCTTCTCTCTCTCTCTCTCTCTCTCTCTCTCTCTCTCTCTCTCTCTCTCTGTGTGTGTGTGTGTGTGTGTGTGTGTGTGTGTGTGTAAAAAAAAAGAGTGGACTCACGGTGTTCTCCAAGAGCTGAAAAGCTTACTGGGCAGAGCAGGAAGCAGGAAGGGCAGGAAAGAGCTAGCTAGCCCAGCTATGCTGGCTTAGGAATTCTGGGAATTGAAGGCCATGAGTCATAAAAGAGCCAGGGTTGCCTAACCCTGAGCTTGTTGGAGAACAGCTTGAAGCCAGCTTGCCAGGTGAGCAGAAGATTGGAAAGAGGGAGAGAGGGAGAGGGGGGAGAGAAAGAGAGGGGGGGAGAAAGAGAGAGGGAGGGAGAGAAAGAGAGAGAGAGGAAAGAGAGAGAGAGAGAAAGAGTGGGGGAAGAGGACTGGCAGACCAAGGGCAGAAAGAGAGAGGAAAAAGAGGGGAGAGGAAAGAGAGAAATAAGGAGAAAGAGAGGGAGAGGGGGGAGAGACAGAGACAGAGAGAGACCCTTTTGACATCTAAAATGAAGATAACACTGCATATACCCTTTTTTACCTTTATGAGATGTATATATAAATATATATATAAAAAATGTATGTATGTATGTGTGTGTGTATGTATGCATGTAGGTCTTTGGTTATTCGGGTTTTCTCCCATGTCAAATTGGAAGTGTCTTGGCGACATTTCGACAAAGTCTCATCCATCATCTTCAGGCTGGTGTTTTCGCTTCGTGCTTCTAGGAGCAATGTGTGATCGTAGCTGTTTCTTCCTTTTAACTGCCAGTGGAGGTATAAACTGATTGGATGAGAGCTTGGCTGTGTTCTGATTGGATGGAGGTCTGTTCTGATTGGTTAGGAGCTTGGCTGTCCTCTGATTGGATGGGTTGGCTGTGCTCTGATTGGATGGGGGGTTAGCTGTGCTCTGGTTGGGGGAGTGTTGTCTTTGGGTGGGGGCTTTGTTGTGCTCAGGTTAGTCTGAGTTGCACGGGGATGTGAGATGGCGAGCTGCATTGCTATTGTTTGGCTTTGCGTTCGTGGTCGTGCCTCATCTTCATGGTGGGTGTCAGTTTGCTTCATGTATGGATTGGAGAGGTTTAAAGTGGCTAATGATGCAGCTGTGGTCTGGCTTCTGGTTTGTGGTTGTGCCTCATCATTGGTGTGGGTTTGGGTTTGCTTTTTGCGTGGACGTGTGGGGGTGACATCTTGTGTGGCTTTTGTGAGTGTGGGTCTGGTGTCATTCTTTGTGTTAGGGACTCGTCAATAAGGGCAGGTTTCCAAATGGCTGGTAGGCGGGAGGTATCATCTCGTTTGTTCATGCTGTATGGGCGTTTTTCTATCTCGATGGCTTCTCTGATTATTCTATTATTAAAGTGTTCAGTTTTGGTGATAGTTCTGGTCTTTTTAAAGTCAATTTCCTGTCCTGTGATTTTAAGGTGTTGGACCAGGGAAGAAGTTGGTTCCTCTTTTTAGACTGAGTTCTTATGTTCTTCAATGCATGCACTTATTCTTCTGTTGGTTTGTCCGATGTATGTGGTGGGACAAGTGGTGCATGGGATTTCGTATACCCCTTGATTTTCTAATTCAATTTTATCTTTGGGGTTTCTTAGGATGGTGGATATTTTTCTGTTTGTGCAGAATGCTGTCTTAATGTTGTGTTTGTGGAGGATCCTACTGATTCTGTCTGTGCTGCCTTTTATGTAGGGGAGGAGGGCTTTGCCGTTTTCTTGTTCTCTGTCTTGGATTTTAGTGGGGGTTTCTTTTTGGATTAGTTTGGTAATCTTATTTCTTTGGAATCCATTGAATGTAAGTACATTAGTGAGAGTGTGTAGTTCAGTTTTTAGGTGTTGTTCATCAGCTAAGCGTTTTGTTCTAGAGATGAGTGTCTTGGCTACGGAGTTGATCTGTGCTGGGTGGTTGTGTGAGAGAGCGTGCAGATAGCGGTTTGTGTGTGTTTTCTTCTGGTAGATGGTGTGTCCTAGGGAGCCATTGGATTTCTTGTAGACTAAGACATCCAGGAAGGGAAGTTGGTTATTAGCTTCTGTTTCCATGGTGAACTGTATTTTGGGGTGTAGGCTGTTGAGGTGTATGAGGAAGTTGTCCAGTTTTTCTTTCCCATGTGGCCAGATTATGAAGGTGTCGTCTACATATCTGAGCCAGAGTTTGGGTTTGTGATCAGATTTTTCTAGAGCTTGGGTTTCAAAGTGTTCCATGTAGAGGTTTGCAATGACAGGTGAGAGGGGTGATCCCATGGGTGCTCCTTCTATTTGTTTGTATTTTTGTCCATTATAGATGAAGTATGTGTTGGATAGGCAGTGGTTGGTCAGATCTAGGATGTGTTTGGGGGGGTTATATTTGTTTTGGATAGCTGTCAAGGCTTCTTTGATTGGCACTTGGGTGAAGAGGGATATGACATCAAAGCTCACGAGTAGGTCGCTGGGCTGTAAGTTTTGTTTCTTTATGATCTCTATAAACTGGAATGAGTTTTTTACGTGTGAGGTGATGGATTCTGCATAGGGCTGTAGTTGTTTGGCGAGAAATTTGGCTAGGTTTTGTAGAGGTGAGCCTATGGAGCTGACTATAGGTCTGAGTGGGGTTCCTTCTTTGTGTATCTTGGGGAGACCATAGAGTTTGGGCATCTGGATGATTTCTCTCTGGGAATGATTCTTTGCTGGATCTCTTCGCTAATGGGGGAGGCTTTTATTTTGGATCTGGTGGTTTTTTCCAGGTAGGTGGTGGATCTGTGTTTAGGGGTTTGTATGTAGAGTCTTGGAGTAGGTTGGTTAATTTGGTTTGGTAGTCAGATGTGTTCATAACCACCGTGGCATGTATGTATGTATATATAATGGTAAAAAAGGATATATGCAGTGTTATCTTCATTTTAGATATCAAAAGGGTTTTGCAGCTCCCAGTGTTTTGTTTTCGGTGGGAAACGGATCCAGGTGGCTCTTTGAGTGTTTTGGGTTGCCTATCCCTGCTCTATAGTGATCACCAAACTAGGTGAGAGGTAAATATAAATATTTATTGCTGTAAATATAAATGTTGAACAAAATGCATGCATTCTCATCACTCTTAATTAAGTTTGGTTTAGCTTAAATGCATCCATCTACATGTGCATCAGCACAATGTACGTTAATTGATTGATCTATGATGTGCCATGAAATCAGTTTCTGCTCTTAGACCACACAGATGCATTTCTTCATAATGGTCTGTCCCAAATCTGGTCCTTCAGATCTTCCAACAGGGCACTCATTGCCACTATAACTGTGTCCCATTTTGTTGCTGGTAGTCCGCTGCTTCCTGAGTCACAATAATGTAAGCTTTGGTATTTCCTATGACATAGAAAAGAAAGTTGGACTTTAAAGAAATATTGGAGCGATGGGGGCACGTTAGAACTGAAAGACCAGGTTTGGGCTACTTCAGGGGTGTCAAACTCAATTTCATTGAGGGCCGGATCAGCATTGCGGTTGCCCTTGGGGGGGGGGTGATGTGGTCAGGGTGGGTGCAGCCTACTGGGTAGGCGTGGATGGAGTGGGCGTGGCCAGCTCTACATCGTCCACGTCAAGGGTGCCTGTGGGGGCCTGGGCAGGAGTGGGACAGATCTGAGGGTCTCTGGCAGAAGGGGGTGGGACCAGGACAAGCGCCAAGGCATGGTCCACTGGAGGAGTCTCACTATTCCTCTCAGGCCATGCGTGGGGGCTGGATGATGGCGCGGGCTGCCCGGAGCCCTGGGCAACAGAGGTCAAACACCCAACCTGACCCTTGAGCACCTGCGGCACCAAGCCCAGCCTCACTTCCCCAAGGGGGCGCCCAGCTGTACTTACCTCCTCTTCAAGGCTGCTTCTGCTGCTGTACTTGCTCTCCTTAGCCAGGTTGCTCATGATGGGTACGAGGGCAAAGTCAGAGGGAGGCCCATTCCCTCTCCATGAGAGGAGACCCAGCTTTGTATCCAAAGCTTCCTTAGAATAGGATCGAAGACCCCCAGGATAGGCCAGGAGGAGGGGGCAAGGGGATGGTGAAAGGGCAGCAGGGCAAGACTAAGGCAGCACTTCCTTCTGACCCTCACTCTCCTTCTTCTTTCCTTCCTAAGTACAGAGTGGTGGACAAATATTTGAGATGAGGGAAGGAGAAAAACAGGCAAGAAACACAGCTAGGGAAGTGTCACCCTTTGTGAGGAATGAAGAAATGCACCATCATCTGGAAGTGGCCAGCACATGGCCCTCATCTACTTCACATATCTGGCTTGGTGGGCTCTGGCAAAGGGGATGCCATGAGCAGTGTGAGAGTCAACGTTACCTGTGCAATGCCGCCCAGCCCCTAGGCTGCCCAGTCTCGGCAGGCAGCAGGGCGCTCTCCTCATAATGCCGAGAGGTTGAGCCAGGCAATACAAAGCTCGCCAGCTTTGCACCTTGCTGCCTATTGAAACTGGGCAGGCTGGGGGCTAGGCAGCATTGCACTTCTCATCAGATTCGCGCCATCCGCCTCAGCCTCTCGGTGCTGTGAGGAGAGTGTCCCGCTGCCTGCCGAAACCCCTCCCCTGGAGCCCATCAAGCTGGATATGTGAAGTAGGCCAGGGCCATTTGCTGGCCACTTCCAGGTGATGGTGCATTTCTTCATTCCTCACAAAGGGTGATAACCTCTCCAGCGGGCAGGGCCGACACAGCAGGGGCTGGTTCCTCGCTGTTTCCAGACAGCCTTGTGGAGCTAAGACTGAATGCATTTCAGCATAGATGCCACCACAAAATTGTACATTGACTCCCTCCCAGCCAGCCTGGGCCAGGGCCAAGGCAGCGGGGGCCATTCCCTCACTGTTTCTAGGATGGCTTCACAGGCCACCTGAAACCAGTTCGCGCCCCCGTGCCTTGTGTTTGACATGTCTGGGCTAGTTCATCATGGGAAAAAAAAATCTATGTTGTCACTAGAAATCAAAAATAATATATGATGTATGTTTTGATTAAGTGCCATCAAATCTGTGGACTTTTAGTGACCTTATTATCGATTTGTTCATGCATGGCTTTATCTGCCAATAAATAAGATTCATAAAAGCCATCACAGATTTTATTCTAATATTAAGAAGAAATAATAAGTTGGAAGTAATAAAAGACTTTAAGAATCCTAATAGTTATTTAATAGGAGCAGCTAAAGGCAGAAGCTAAACATTCTAATTTATTTAATACTTTTCATTGCCAAATCAATGATTACACGTGTCTTTCTCAGATTGATTTATTCAATGGATTTAAAAATTTATTTATTGGTGCTTTTTCAGGAATCAGAAAAGTTGATCAGTTTAACAACTTATTTAAGAGAAGAGTATCTCTATTGCATCTGGTGCGGAACAAGCTACCAAGGTAAACATAAATTGTTTTTTTTTAAAATGCAACAATTCAAATTCTGTGGAATTTTTTATTCATTATGCATAATCAATTTTGATTGTATTGATTTTTATTACTTATTTTCTAGGGGTTTTCCTTGAAAATTTTGATGTTTCAGGATTTTTACTATAGTCATGTATCTTTTATGTCAAAAAGCTTTTATTTGCTAGTTTTACTGCTTTTATGATGGTATAAGTCAGCAAAAGGAGAGAGGTGCAGATGTATTGGCGCAAGAGCTGATGAACTAATTAATCTTACTGCTAGTCAAGAGCATTAAGGGGTACAGGTAATCTTACTGCTAGTCAAGAGCATTAAGGGGTACAGGTAGACAGCATTCCCATTAGCCCAGCCTTGTATATAGGCATTGCTGGGGGACATGGTGCTGGGTTTTTTTTTCTCTCCTTCTCACTCTCCAATTTACAAGGACTCTTGTAGAAGGAAGTGGCTGGAAAGAAAAATTGGAGATTGCGCAAACCAGTGGTTGGTTCCCAGGTGAGGGAGAAAAAAAGTCAATTATTGGTTTCCCTGGAGGAAGAGAAGCAAAGACTCAGAGAAGATGGTACATTCACCAAAGTACAAAACAGGAAAGAAAGAGATTGGATAAAAGTTGGGTTCATACTCTAAATAAGTTTGCTGTTTATTGTAAAGGAGAAGCATAAAAGTTTTCACTCACCATATCAGTTTCTCTACATTGATTGCCTCTCTTGGAAACCTAAATATTACTCCAGTTCTAAAAGAGCCCAGTCACACTGCGACAATCTCCTAAGGGTTTTGTTCTGAGGTAGAATAAACCTAGCTTTGCTGTTCTGACGTTGAAATAAAACTTGGCAACTTAAAGCAGAAACAAGCTTGGAACTCCCAATTTAGAGTATTTAGTGCTTGAAATAAAATTCAGAATATAGTCAATCCAGAACATTTCAGATGCGCTATTTGCTTTGAGTTTGAAACAAAATACATTTTCCATTTCAAACGTCTAATCTATTATTGTATGCTTGTTTGCTTGTAACTTCTGCAAATTTCTCTCTTTTTCCTTTGCAGATGAAGAAGATCTATCTTCAAATTGCCCTGGGAGCACATATACAGATCATGAATAACTCTGTAAAAATTCAAAACAGTAGCAAAATTTTTAATTTCAATGATGAGCATAGCTATGAACTATGTTGTTCTATATTTTTCACTGAGCAAATTGGTCGTTTCTCATTGCTCTGTGTTTGGGTATAAAATGGCTTTTATACTCTATTTAAATAATTATTTGGAATAGGAACTAATCTGTTATTTTTCCAAGTTATTTATTATTATTATTTTAAATCCTGCTATGTTTACTTCTGAAAAATAAAATTAAAATCTATTGTGATTGACTAGATGCTGCAGATTGGATAAATGCATGTTTTATTTCAGCAAAGTAACATTTCAAGAAACCCTAAATAATGAATTTAGCTGTTCAGAGATAATTCTGTTTAGGCTCACAATAAAACTGAACATAGGATTTCATGAGGAGCTCATGGAAAATAATCCATGCTTCAACACATACAAAATCTCCTTGTGCTTTTCTTCCCCTCTTTATTAAGTTTCTTAGTTTTTTTAACCAAAGTTATTAGGCAACATTGTGTTAATGCATAGAAATTCAGCTGTGATTTATTTGGTTTATGCACCACCAGTGGTTAATCATTGATTTGGGTTTATTTTAAGCTTCAGGCAATTTGTGTGAATAACTTTTCTACAAACTGTTCCTTAGAGTTAAGCTAAAGTGAATAACCTGGCTGGCAGCATGATGCTGTCTTCAGACTTAGCCCTAGGGGTTACTACATGTTGTAGTTTTGCCACTTATCTTATTTTTTCAATGGTCTTTTCCAGAGATTCTTCAAGATCTTATCCCAAATTATCTAGAACAAAATGATTGTTAGCAGCCAGAGAAACAAGTACTCAAGCTTTAACTAGTTCCTATAGTTTAATATGGCTAAAAATTCATATTGGAATTCTTCCAAGTTGCTAGCTTCCCAACCAATAGATTTTTGTAAAAAGAGATGGAAATCTGAGATTCAGGAGATTACCAGAAATAATTGTTCAATCTCATCTGTTAAATATTTATTGTAGTCTAGCTCAGCCTTTCTCAAACTTCTTACTTGGGAGAACCGTTGAAATAATTTCCAGATCTTAGGAAACCCCTGCATACAAATTTCCATGGTTCAGCAAAACCATGCCTTTATTATATCTGCAGCTGACAGTTAATTGGCATGATCATAAAATATACATATAATAATCCACTAATAATTGTCACTAATAATAGTTTTTGAGCCGAGAATAATTTTCTGTGGATCTACTTATTTTGACCAATATATTAGCCTTTCCTTTTGGTTTGAGTCCCCCTCCATCTTAAAGGTTATCATCTTTAATGTAAATCAATAGAAGAATCTTCAAATTTTCTTTTAAAAAAATTCTGCTTGATTTCTTGATTACCTTATCCAAGTACAGGCCTAAAAGTCTTTTACTTTATAAGATGTTAATGAGGAATGATTACAGTATATGACAGAGTATGTTTTTACTGTTTAAAACTGTTTTAACATACTTCCACCCAGTTCTTTAAAAAATAAAACAGATAGCTTATCTTTCTTGAAATTAATATTTCATTTGCTTTCATAAATTTTAAAAACACACGGCAAACATAATGTATAAAAAACAAGCTTGAAACAAAATGTTCAAAAAACATTTTTTTTTTACAGCCACAATTTGTCATAAATCCTCTAACAACCTCTTTTATGTATTCAGGAGGTTGAGTCTTAGCTTTTGGAGGGTTGAGTTCAGAAAGATTGGTCTAGCTTTTTCTTTTTCCAAAAATTTGTACATGCTGGATAAATTACACAATTTATACTGGACAGAAAGCAACACTGAAGAAGCAAATTCAGGAAATACATTGTTCATTTTTAACGTTTCTTTATATTGTAGTAATGAGAAGCAAAAGCAATATATGCTCTAGATGACAAATTAAAGAACTGAAATAGTTGTATATCTGGATTCCATTAATGTTTGTCCCCCTTTTTTAAAGTTCTATTTCATTTTATCATTATTATAGAGATTTTTTCAACCTTTGACTATATCCTCGCTGTTGTTTTATATTGGTTTGTTTAATTGATTAATACAAGGGCAACTCAGAAATAAATCTCCATTTGGTTATCAATGACAGATACTTGCAAATACAGAACTTGTATTATACACATTAGAAAACTACAACATTACATAACTTTTTGACATAATCGCCATTCAAATTGAGGCATTTGTCATAACATCTTACTAGGTTTGAAATTCCTTTTGCTAAAAAATCTCCTGCCTGGGAATGAAGCCACCCTGTAACAGCATCGTGAAGCACATTGTCATCATTGAAGGGGTGCGATGCAAGCCACTGTTTCATTTTAAAAACTGGTTCATTTTCAGTTGATCTAGCAGACGAGTCAACTGGAACACAACTTCTTCCACTCCTCACTGCCTACTGAACTACTGTGCATGGCGTCATAGGACAGGTGTCGCTATCCCCGCCTATTTCTCGCACATGCTCAAACGGAGGTTTATTTTCTAATTGCCCTCATACATTAAATGATTTAGAGCATGGGTGCCAATCTTTTGGCTTGCCTGGGACTACACTGAGTGAAGAAATGTCTTGGGATACATATAAAAATACAATTAATGTATATAAATAGCAAATGTCCTTTGTTTTTTATATTTTTTATTATGTGGGGCTACATTACTAGCTGTCCAGGGCTACATGCACCTGCAGGTTGGACATATCTGGTTTCAAGTATCAAAACACAAATGCAAGACAGCACATTAGATCTGTTTTAGAAACAACATAATTATAAGCACTGTTAGATGCATTACTCATATAATGCTGGAGCTCTTGATTTTAAGGTAAGTGAAAGCTAAATGTAATTAAATGCATTGTCTTGTACTTCCAAAACAGTTGCCCATCTATGCATTGCAAGTTAAAAGGTTCATTTATGGATTTACATCTACATTTCTGCAAAAGAAAGCAAACCATATCATATAACTTTTTTATAAATCAGTAAAATCTCCAATAGCATTCATTTGAAAAAATTCAGAAAAAACTGAAAGGAAGTGAATACTCTGTCATAAAACTGCAGATTAATCACAGTACTATTTTTCACAAAGCAAAAGATAGCAATTAACACTTGATGCCAGTAGTTCCATGAGTTAGAAGGATGGTATTAACTTTGCTAGGCAATATTAAACTTAACTGTATAACAACAGCATTGGAATGGCACATTAAAACTTTGTAAAAAAAAAAAATCAGATACATCAGATTGCCGTTATGTGATGAGTCTAAAAGGTCTTGCAAAGTTCACAAAAGGCACTCTTTCTATTTCCATTAGATCTTCCCATTCCACTTCCATTCTCATTCTTCGCATTCTTTGACTTCTCTGGAGATCCCAAACATAACAAGGCATAAGGAAAAAACCCAATCCTTCACATTTAATGGGTCTCGCAATTTGTCTATTCACACTGATTTCAGGAATCAAGAACAGCAAAAGAAACATGAACCAAAAACCTGCGCTTTGACAAATTCACTAATAAGTGTGTCGTCCGTGTTGCTGGAATTTTACGAGTTCCAAAATATCAGCTGCTGATGGTCTTTGAGATGGCTCTTTGGAAAGCAGTTTCTTAATTAGAGAAGTCTGCAAGTGAAGAGGATATTAATATAAAAATTAAAAGATCAACATGGAATTAAGAAAAATAGATTAAAAGATTTAAAAAATAGGAATGTTTTACAGCAGTATACCTCTTTTGTAAACTTCTCGATGAATATTTTTGGAAGTTTGCCTTCTTTAATGTTGGGCCATTCCTGAAAAATCAGAGTGTATTTAAATTAAAGTACACAATTCTATTTTAAAGGATTTGTATGCTAAATTTCAGAAATTTAGCCAGTTCTCCCAAAAGTAGTTTACCAATCATAAATGTTTAAGTGGTCTAGCAGCAGAAAAATCCCACCATTAAAACAATAGCTAAGAGTATTTGCTTTGATAAGATGTTTTCTAGAAGCTACAGTATGTCAAGAATAATATTAACTGATAAGATATACACATAAGGGAATATTCACAGCTGTTCTTTGCTCTCTGCACTAATTGATATTTTATCATATTTGTACATCTTTATTAATACAAATTTCAACAAATTCCCATACATGAGCTTTGTCCATTAACCAGTAAAAATAAGACTAAAAATATGTGCATGCAGGAACACAATTTGGTGTCATAGCATAGGGATACACACTTATGCTTGTATTCATAAGCATATAAACAGTAATATGTATATTACAACATAATATAAATATATATGAAATAGGCCTAGTTCCAGTCCACAGACAAAGACACTTTCTAAGCCTATAAAAAGTTACAAAGTCTTCACTGATATATAAATTAACTTTCCAACCGAAATATGTGATATCACATGTGTGACATATGTGATGTCAACTTTTGCCTGGTTCCGTAACAAAATGTTTACAACCCCAGAACCTTCAATAACTGGTCATACAAACCCCTATGGCCTTTAATCAGCAGATGAAAAAAAAAGTTGAGAACTTGATCACTTTTCTTTCAAAAATAATTTCCTTCCCCATATATCTGCTGTGGCTCTTACACCAAGGCATTCCATTTGTGAATATGATGGACGGATAGCTTTTCTCCTTTTGCTCAGCTTTTTAAGGTATAAATTTCTAGAGTTAACTATTTTAATTTATTTTTCTAACATTACATTAAATAAGTCAGTCTGAAAAGCAGCTTGAACATATTTCTCCTATGTTTATTGAGAAATACATGCAGGCAGATATAAGAAAAAAATGGATTATTTACCTTCTCTTTCTCATGACTAGTTGAAAATGGGGAAAGCATTTCATATAAAATTAATCCTAATGGAAAGATATCTACTTCCTTGCCATAGCTGCATCCTTCCTAATGGACAGCATAACACAAGCATGTTAGGTACTTCAAATGTAAAAACAAAGTACAGGGTGAATCAGTGGATTTTGTTTCAAAGATGTGCGCAACCTTCATTCAGCTTCTTAGAGTCTCTAGAGGCAAAAGAATTGTATACAATCTTATGCTGTTGAGGAAAAATGCATGAGAATAAATAACAACGCAATAAAAGTTAATTTTCAGCATATGGTCGTTTATTTGGAGATGATGATTTTCTCTTAGATGAAATGGAACAACTTAGTATTTTTGTGGGGGATGTAGATGCTTCATTTATCAGCTATTTTAAGAGTCTGACTTCAAATTATAGCACAGTAGAGAGAAATTACAAGTGGAAAACTATACAGGTAGTCCTTGACTTACAACCATTCATTTAATGACTGTTCAAATTTACAATGGCACCAAAATGATTTATGACCACTTTTCACACTTAACAACCATTGCAGCATCCTTGTGGTCATATGATCAAAATTCAGGCACTTGGATCAAAATGGATCAAACATTTGAAGAATCTGCAATTGGGTTTAACCAACTGAAAGATGTCATGAATACACATACAAGAGAGAAGTTAGATATGTGGATGAAACTAATATGTAACTTATTATTAATGGATTTGATGGAGAAAAAGCTTTACCTGAGAATTGGTATAGCTTTCAAAGAATTGTAATGTAAAATAGTAGTGTAGTAAATATTATAATTATAGATGTGAAATTTTATAATTATTTGTAGACCCACAAATCCAGGGGAATCTAAATTCCATTAGATTTATTTGAAAATATTTGTCAACATACCAAACAGGATGGGCGATGTATGTTTAATATTGGCTTTATATATGTTGTGCACTTTATTATTATTTTTGTTGTGTTTGTAATTTTTGTCTTTTGGTGTTTTTTTGTTCTTGTAGTTTTCAATATTTTATCTTTGAAAAAAAGTTATCAAAAGGCACTTGTCAACTGGCATGTATTTATGACAGCTGCACTGTCTTGAGGTCATGTGATCAACATTAGTAACTTTCTAAGTCGACTACTTACAAGCACAGTCAATGGAGGAAGCCAGATTTGCTTAATGACTACATGATTCACTTAACGGCAGTTTGCTTAACAACCATGGCCGAAAGGTCATAAACTAGGGCAAAACTTGCTTAATAACTGCCTTGTTAGAAACAAAAATTTTGGGCTCAATTGTAGTCCTAAATCAAGGACTACCTCTATATTCAAAGGAAATAAGCAAATTCCTTTCAAAGGGATTTACAGGGCATACACACAAAAGAATTATTAACAATAATTACCTGCTCAGGTGCCATGTAACGCAATGTTCCTTTGTTCGTTGTCCGTTGTACTGAAGCATCATTTGCACCTGATGTTGCCAGTCCAAAATCACCTATTTTTATGTGCTTTTCACTATGAAAGAATATATTTAGAGGCTGTAAAAGAAAAATATAAATACTATAAGAAAACACTTTATATTTAGGCATATAAGGAACAAATATTTTTTTCTAGGATAGCAGAAGTCAATTCACGGACTGATTCTGGGGTTACAAATACATTTTTGCGAATAAATGAATTTGCAAATATAGAACTTGCAAATAATCAGGATTGCCTGTACCTGACAGGAAAGGAAAAAGCTGACAAAGTCAGAAGCAAAGAGCATGTGATGATATTTATTTTATTAAAAAATTTTTTTGAGAAATGGAAGCTCCTATTCCCTACAATAGAAGAGAGAAATAGAGTAAAGTAGAGTAGAGTAGAGTAGAATGGAATGGAATGGAATAACTTTATTGTCACTTTAAATGCACACTAATCGGCATACATTAAAATGAAATTTCATTGCATTCAGCTCTCAAAGGGTCACAACCTCCGACATACACTACATAAATATGACAAAAATAAATAAATACAGAATTATGCATATACCCACATATATGACAAAGAGAAACAACAGTCTAGTTTGGGTTACGTATACATGTGCATGGCGAGAAAAACAAATCTTGCAAGTTTAACCAGATGGATGGCAGAGGGAACAAAGC